TGTCTAGTAGTAACACTTGGTGCGAAAAAAATGCAGTCTTTGTTGATGAGCAAAAGAAATGTTCTTTTACCTGTGATGACTTAGAGTTATTGCAGTGTTCTAGGGCAGTTTTTCTTAATTTTTTTTTAAAGATTTATTTATTTATTTGAAAGTTAAAGTTACACACAGAGAGAAGAGGAGGCAGAGAGAGAGAAGTTTTCCTTCTGCTGGTTCACTCCCCAGTTAGCTGCAATGGCCGGATCTGTGCTGATCCAAAGCCAGGAGCTTCTTCCGGGTCTCCCACATGGGTGCAGGGGCCCAAGGACTTGGGCTATTTTCTGCTGCCTTTCCAGCCCATAGCAGAGATCTGGGTCGGAAGTGGAGCAGCTGGGTCTCAAATTGGCGCCCATATAGGATGCCAGCACTGCAGGGGTAGCTTTACCTGCTACATCACAGCTCCAGCCCCAGTTTTCTAATCTTTAGTGTATCCACTAAAGAGTTCACCCCTATAGATTGAGATTCAGTAGGGGCTGGTGCTGTGGTGCAGTGGGTTAAACTGCTGTTTGTGATGCCAGCATCCCATATTGGAGTGTCTGGTTAAAGTCCTGGCTATTCTGCTTCCAATTCAGCTTCCTGGTCATGTACCTGGGAAAGCAGCTGATGGTGGCCCAAGTACTCCTGCCATCCATGTGGGAGACTAGGGTGAAGTTCTTGGCTTCAGCTTGGCCTGGTGCTGACTGTTGTGGCTGTTCCAGGAGTGAAGTAGGAGATGGGAGATATCTCTCTGTCTCTGTCTCTCTCTCTATCACTCTGCCTTTCAGGTAAATAAATAAATAAATCTTTTAAAAAGTAAAGATTATAGTTCAGTAATCAGATTATTCTGAAGTTGACTCTTTTAGGTGACAGAATAAAAACTTAGATTGGGTTGGATATGTGTCATTTTATTTTCAAATGTGACCTATCTCTTGTGCAGTGGTTTCATCCAGGCTAAGATGTGCACATGTGCTTCTCTGGGTATTAGACCATCAGCATCCGCTCAACTCCAGTCTGAGTTAGAATTCATCTTTTTCATTTGATGGTTATTTAAGGAGTTCGCCAAACTTTCAGTATTTGTGCAATCTTATACACGGGGCTCCAAGGATGAAGGCAGGAAGGACAGCCCCATACTCCGGTGCATTGTTTTGTAGGTGACAGGTCTTTTTCACATGTCCACCTGTTTGTTCTTGGCAGTGAACCCTCTGAGGTGGCACTGCAGGTGGCAGAACCTGGGTCCTCCTTCACAGAGGAGAAGCAATCGTAGCAGAGTCCGGAACGTGCAGCCTCAGCGTGTGTCTACAGAGGAGTGATCTGCCTTTTGGCCAGTAGGTGGATCCTCACCTGTGCAGATAGTAGCACTGCATTGCCGCCCCTTCATTTTCTTTGATTTGGCCTCATTCATTTATGATTGTTCTTTCAATAGGTTTCCAAGTACTCTTACTTTGCAGGTTGATGAAAACCAGCTGAACAACCTGTTCTGATTAATAAAACTAATAATGCTCACTGTAGAAAATGAATCTGATTCAGAGAAGTATAAAAATGAAATTAAAGATCACCTATAATTCCACAGCCCAAAGATGAGCACTGTTAACATTCTGTACATTTTTTCCTGGTCTTTCTATGCATATACTTTAAAAAAAATATTTATTTATTTATTTGAAAGGCAGAGTTCCAGAGAGGCAGAGACAGAAAGAGAGAGGTCTTCCAACCACTGATTCACTCCCCAAATGGCTGCAATGGCCAGAGCTGAGCCAATCCAAAGCCAGGAGCCAGGAGCTTCTTCTGGGTCTCCAGTGTGGGTGCAGGAGCCCAAGGATTTGAGCCATCTTCTACTGCTTTCCCAGGCCATAGCAGAGAGCTGGATTGGAAGTAGAGCAGCCAGTACTCAAACCAGAAACCATATGGGATGCCGGCACTGCAGGCAGTGGCTTTACCCACTACACCACAGCACTGGCCCCTATGAATATACTTTTATTTTGACTATAAATATACTTTTTAAAAAAATTACACACATCATAAGAAACATAATTTTTGACCCTGTTTTCATTTTATTAAGATCATTTTCTTGTGATGTTAAGTAGCCTTACATTACATCTGGTGGCTAAGCCATAATTTACCTATCTCATCATTTCTAATTTCTAGATGTTTATGTTGTTTGCCATTTTTAAAACAAGATCAGTAACTCTGATATAAACTGATTTTGATCATCTTCATCTCCATCTGTTTTCTGTGGTCAGAGATCATGAGCTGTGTTAAGGCTCACATATGTGTTGACAGATTGTCTTCGAGAGGGTGGTGCAATGCACACCTCTGTTGCTACACCCTGCTCCTCACTGGAGACAATAAGTCTTTATTTAAATCTTTGCTAGGGCCAGCGCTGTGGCCTAATGGGTAAAGCTGCTGCCTGCAGTGCTGGCATTCCATATGGGCACCAGTTCCAGTCCTGGCTGCTGCACTTCTGATCCAGCTCTCTGCTATAGCCTGGGAAAGCAGTACAAAATGACCCCAAGTCCTTGATACCTGCATCCATGTGGGAGACCTGGAAGAATCTTCTGGCTCCAGCCATTGTGGCCATCTAGGGAGTGAACCAGTGGATGGAAGACCTCTTTCTGTCTCTCTCTGCCTCTGCCTCTCTCTAACTCTGCCTTTCAAATAAATACATCTTTAAAAAAATCTTTGCTAATTTAATGGGTAAAGAATGATCTCTTGTTTCCATCATATTTGACCTGTTGCATCCTTGCAGTCTTGCTTTCTTTCGCATTGTGTGTGGTGTATTTTCCTTTACCCTCTGAGGCTAGTTTGCAAATGGTGCCTCAGAGGTATTGCACGCCCTTTTTTGGAGTGGTTCATAGTGGGCATTCTGAAGCTCTGTGAGTTAGTAGGCTGTGAGAGTCAATGTCCATCATTTAAGCCATCATTTGCAGTAAGTGAAGAACTCCTCTCCGGAGACAGGATGGGTTAGCAGGCCACCGTTCTCCACTCCTAGGGAGAAGACGCCTCTGGCATAGGGACTGCGCTCTCCTGGCCAGCTCTGTTTTTCACTTTAGAGTCCTCTTCGCCTTGCAGGGGAAAACACTGAGTGTTTTATGATGTTTTCAGCCTGTTGCCTTCCAGTCCCCTAGTACCGTGAACCTCCACGAGGCTGTACCCTCTGTTTTGCTGGTTGGAGTCTTTGGGATGCCAAATGAGACTGAGTTAGCAATGTCTAAACCACATAGTCCCCTGGAACCTGACAGAATTTCCTGAACTCTAAGGCAGTGGGACTTGGGTCATAAAGGGGAAGGTTCAGGAAAGTAGGATTTTTAAAAAAGATGTATTTTATTTATTTGAGAGGAGTTACAGAGAGAGAGAGAGAGAGAGAGAGAGGTCTTCCATCTGCTGATTCATTCCCCCAAATGGCCACAACAGCTGGAGCTGAGCCGATCTGAAGCCAGAAGCCAAGAGCTTCATCTGGGTTTCCTATGTGGGTTCAAGAGCCAAGGACTTGAGCCATCCTCCACTGCTTTCACAGGTGCATTAGCAGGGAGCTGGATTGGAAGTGGAGCAGCTAGGACTCCAACAGGCGCCCTTATGGGATCATGGCATTATAGTCAGCTGCTTAACCTGTTACACGACAATGCTGGTCCTGGAAAGTAGGAATTGTTTACAGGGCTCTAAGGGCTGTTTCCTTGGTAGGGTAATCTGGAGCTTCCCAAACACCAGCCATATCATCTTAATGATTGTTTGCCGTTTTCTGTATTATTGTTTAGTAAATACATCTGTGAAATACTTATTTACTCAGATTTATTTTTTAAAATAAATCTTATTCTATAAATGGAAGACCATTATCATTTGTCATAAATTAAATGATTTTAAAAATAATCACAGTGAAAAACAAAGTAGTCTTATTCACTTTGAAGCTAGATCCTATTACTTGCAGATATGTTCCTCCTGAGGCTGCCCTCACTTTGTTAAAGAATGGAGTTTTAAGTACAGAGCAGCACCAAACTTGGGCTTTCTCCTCAAGGCTAACGAAGGACTTTAACTGGATAAAAAAAGGCAGCAGGTTTTTCGTAAAACTTTCTCTGTTCTACCATTAGTTACATTGGCATAACAAATTAACTCAAATCTCAGTGGATTAACACAGTGAAAGTTTTATTTCTTGCTTATGCTACATGTCCAGAATGGGCTGGGGGAAGGGTGGAGGACAGGCCATGCTCCACACAGTCACTGAGTGTCCAAGGCTAAGAGAGATGTCTGCCCTCTGGAACGTTGCCAGTCACCACGGTAGAGGAGAGGTTCCAGAAGAACTTAAGCTTGTTCTTTTGTCCTTTGGCCTGGAAATGATTACCTCACTTCTCTTCAGCCCATTGACCAGAACCAGTCACACGGCCTCACCTAAGTGCACGGGGGCGGAAAATATAGAGGAGCACGTGGGATGATGCTTGGCGACCTTTGTGTCTGCTGCATCTGTCGCTGCTTTAGGCTGCTCTGGCTGTACCCAGAAAGGAATGGAAACAGGTGGCCTGGGTTTGAAGATGGTTATGGCTGCACGTGGAGCACTTCGTAGAATTGTTAAAATTAGGGGCCAGCACTGTGGTGTAGCAGGTAAAGTTGCTGCCTGCAGTGCTGGCATCCCACGTGGACGCCAGTTCGAGTCTTGGCTGCTCCACTTCCAATCCAGCTCTCTGCTGTGGCCTGGGAAAGCAGTAGAAGATGGCCCAAGTCCTTGGGCCCCTGCACCCACACTGGAGACCCAAAAGAAGCTCCTGGCTCCTGGCTTTGGGTTGGCTCAGCTCTGGCCGTTGCAGCCATTTGGGGAGTGAACCAGCGGATGGAAGACCTCTCTGCCTCTACCCCTGCTTCTCTGTAACTCTGCCTTTCAAATAAACAAATAAATAAATAAATAATAAAAAAAAAGAATTGTTAACATTAAAATATCAAGCAAGTTGAAGGTGGTCAGACGTCTCGGCCACTCTTTGGTAATGGTGTCTCCTTTTTTGAAGTTTCATTAAAGAAAGGTCAAAAGTCAACACTGTTCCTCTGAAGAGTAAGAAGGCCTCCAGTTTTCATGAGTTTGCCCGGAATACCAGTGACGCTTGGGACATTGGCGATGATGAGGAAGAGGACTTTTCCTCACCCTCCTTCCAGACTTTAAACTCAAAAGTTGCTTTGGCAACTGCCGCTCAAGTCCTAGAAAATCACAGCAAGCTGAGGGTAAAGCCAGAGCGGTCGCAGTCGACGACATCTGACGCTCCTGTGAACTACAAGGTCATCAAGTCCAGCAGCGATGCCCAGCTGTCCAGAAACTCCAGTAAGTCCACTGTGCCCCTCCGCAGCCCCAGCCTTCTTGTCAGAGTGCAAGTGAGGTAAAAATGGTTTTCCTTTAGGGCGTCACTCAGATCTCCCACTGGCTGATAAATAAGTGCGCTCAAGCCTGAGGTATGACACCACGAGCCTAGCTGACCACTAGCTGTCCTTGCCCCTCCCGCCTTGGTGGCTGCTTTGCCCAGGACCTGGGCCTTCGTTTATTGACACTCAAGCATCACCTGCCATTCTCCTCCTCTTCTCTCTCTTTCTCTGTGGTCTGATTGCTGCACATGGCTTTCACCTCCGTCAGGTGTACAGATATTTGTCTAAAGTTGTTAGTGGCTAAATTTCACAAGTGTTTGGGGCTGTTGATTGACTTTCTCATCCTTGGGAACAGCCACTAGTGTAAGGTTGTTTTACCTGTTCTTGCAGGAGGAATCGACATGTGCCTGAAGGCACCAGGTCACAGCTCCCTGACCATGTGGTGTGCTCATCAGGTTGGGAGGAGAGGCCCATTCTGATTCTTTCCAGGAAACTAGCCTCTGTGACGGCTGGGGGTGATGGTGGTTTTACAAGATGCTTGAGAACTCTCAGTGTAGTCTTTTAAGTACCCAGCGCTGCATTTCATATTGCCCTAAAGGGTTTTATGGAAGTCGGTGATTGTGAGTTCCGTCATTGTAGTGAGATGTTAAAACTGAGAGTTGAAACAGAGGGCTAAGGATGAAAGGGAAGAAGGGTGTCAGGGCCCTGGAGTGTGTCCTGGCTCACCGCCTAAGAGAATTCTTTTCACAGTTTCAGACTAAACGTGTGGTTATGCAGTTAGGCTGTGAGGTCTTTACAGTCATTCCACAGTCAGTTTCCGTCACAGATTTGGGCCCCAGCTTGAGCCTTCGGTGCCAGGCACAGACAGGCGTTTGGTGTCAGTTGGTTGGGTGGCCACAGGCACTGACTTTGGAAAGTACACACTGATCAAGGGCTTCCGGCGTGAAGAAGGCCCCTGCCATGATCCCTGATGAGCTATCCAGTTCAGCCTGGACCCCCTGTGGAGGTTCCCTCCTGCGTGCATCTGTCTGTTTATGGCTAATAGCAGAGATGTGCGTCTGTCTCAGCAGGCATGGCCTGCATTCTCTAGGCCCTGTCACTATACCCCAGCATCCCATCCAAGTACCTTGTGGCAATTGTTTTTGCAAACCTTCTTGTAGTGCTAGCTGATCAGCAGCCACTGTTTCGTTTTTGTTGTGACTACTAATTTTTAAGGCCTGGACATGTTAAGAATAAGAAATAGTCATGAAAGACACCGACTATTAAAAACAGACCCTTTCTTTGTCGTGGTACAATAAACAAGGGTTTTGGAGTTGGACATACTCGAGGTAGCATCTCAGTGCTACTGAGTTCTCTGAGCTGCAGCTTCCTCAGCTGTAAAATTGTCATAGATTATCATAAGTTGCAAGGATCAAATATGAGATCACACATAAAAATGACCAGTGTGGTGCCTTCTGCTTAGTAAGCACTTAATAAATGTTAGTGCCACACTGCCTATTGCTCCCACCCACCGTCTGGTTTAGAAATCTCTAGAACTAGACATTGCATGCAGCTTGAGTCTGTGTCCCTGTTCTTTCAGTCACGTACCAGCAGAATTAAAACCTGGTTCCTTCTGGTGGGAAATGCAGGAGCACCAAGAGACTGTAACTACCCAAGACAAGACTGCCTAAGGCAAGCCTTCTTGTGCGGGATGCCAGGCACAAGTCCGAGTTGTGCCAGGGGCACCCAGTCCCTCAGCCCTTGGGGCAGGCAGGTGGGACCTGTGTCCAGCAGCCTCCTCCTCTTATTGCACTGTACTTCACAGTAGTGTTGCTGCTCACGTGCTCTGTGATGGGGGAAGGGGAGGAAGACACTGCCTCAGCTGCATTGCCCACACGCTCACGGTTAGGCACTGAGAAAGGTTTCAGGTTGGGGTAGAAAACATTTGCTCTTCTGAAGGGATCTCCCAAAAAGTCCCGGGGGTTGCCATAGCCTCAGAAGGCTGTGTTAGCTCATGAATTGCCTCAGGCTGGAGGATGTTGACAGGGCCCCCCCAGCGGGTGAGTGGGGTCCCGCTGGGCACAGCTGCTCTGGAGGAGACACCACCCAGCACTGTAGGAGTTAAGGTTTCTCAGAATCCCTGCTCTTCTCTCAAATGATCTCAGGTGACACATGCCTGAGGAACCCACTCCACAAACAACAGTCACTCCCTCTCCGACCCATCATCCCCCTCGTTGCCCGGATCTCAGACCAGAACGCCTCTGGAGCCCCTCCCATGACGGTCCGCGAGAAAACCCGCCTAGAAAAGTTCCGTCAGCTGCTCTCCAGCCACAACACCGACTTAGGTGAGTCCTCAGGAGCCCTGAGCGAGGTAGGTGTGCTCGGTGACTGGAATTCTCAGAGACCGGAAGCTACTGCTCTTTATTCTGCCTTCTTTTACTTTTTAGCATCTCCTGATCTGGTGTCCGTTGCAGTGATGTGCAGGTATTCAGTCAGAAGTGTGTCACTAGAGGTCAGGGACCGAGGAGCTGGGCTGGTTTCTGTGGCCTGTAGACTTAGTGCACACATCTGGCTTTGGTTTTCCCCACCTCCAGGTGACTCTTAGTGAAACCCATGGGTCTTTCTCTCCTCTGAGCTTACTGGATCGCTGCCGCAGGGCTGTGTCCTTGGCACTTGGCTGCTCAGGCCTGTTGCGGGCTGTTCCCTGTGCTTGTCGATAGCAGGCAGTGGTGGTGGTGGTGGTGGTTTTACTTGACTGATAGGAGTGATCAGGCAGTGCTGGATGACGTTTGTTCTAGGATATTGGTGGGGAAAGCCAATCCGACCAGGCTGTTTTCTGTTTGCAGATGAACTGAGGAAGTGTAGCTGGCCAGGTGTTCCCAGGGAAGTACGACCTGTAACCTGGAGACTCCTGTCGGTGAGTTCTGCCCGCTGTGTAGAGGCCTGATGCAGTTAGTCTGGACACAGTGGTCTTCCTCACAGACGCCTCTGGTCCTGCGGGGTGTGACAGAGGGACCACGGTCCTTTTCTGTGCATACAGAAACACATCTTTTGTTATTTTTTTAAAGATTTATTTATTTATTTGAAAGGCAGAGTTAACAGAGAGGCAGAGGCAGAGAGAGAGAGGTCTTCCGTCTGATGGTTCTCGCCCCAAATGGCCACAACGGCCATAGCTGAGCCTATCTGAAGCCAGGATCCAGGAGCCTCCTCCAGGTCTCCCATGTGGGTGCAGGGGCTCAAACACTTGGCATCTTCTGCTGCTTTCCCAGGGCACAGCAGAGAACTGGATCGGAAGAGGAGCAGCCAGGACTTGAACTGGCGCCCACATGGGATGCCCGCAGTGCAGGCGGCGGATTTACCTGCTATGCCACAGCGCCAGCCCTGAAACACATCCTTTAGCGTTTATTTCCACATGCGTACAGCAGGAATATGTTCTTATTCCACACATGTAGAAGAGCACAACTTGCTCCTGAAGTCACCATCTCACGTTCTCCGCAGCAGCGAGGAAGTACGACAGGGTGATCCCAGTGCTTACTTTGAGCAAGCCCTCACATTCCCTGCGCCTCACTGCTCTATCAGTCGCAATAGCCAAAGTGGTTGAACCCCACTTTATCATTTGGAAGCATTGATCAGCGGACCTTCCTTAGAAGCCTTGCTGTAAGTCCTGTTTTCACTGAGGGCGGGGCACTGTGCCAGCCCCTGCGATAGGACACTTAGATTTTCTGAGCCTATGAAATTCATTCATCCATCCAGTAAGGACTTACCGAGGGCCTGCTGTTTGCCAGGCACGGCCCCAGGTGCTGTGAACAAGTACAAAAATGCATGAACCACGGACCCTGCTCCCAGGCACTCCCTGAGAAATGCTTGGCATAATTGTCTGCAGAGGAGGGGTCTCTCCTAACCGTGCTCCCCACCCCCAGCCTTGTAACCTTACTGACATTGCTCCTGCCACTTCTAGTAAGCTTGAATGATGCAGAGTAGATTTGGTAAGAACAGAAGCAGAACAGGAGTTGTAAGAATGCGAGTGGCATCTAGGGCAGGGATAAGAATGAAAGCTGGCCTGGAGCGGTGGCCAGGAGTGGCTGCTGCCAAAAGTTCTGTCTGGGCTTGAAGCTGCCACTTCCCAGATGCCCTGCAGCTTCCTAAGTTGGTGGTTCTGACTGTGACACAGAAAGAATGTGTAACTGGCACACCACTGAGAAGCAGCCTGGAGGTCGCCAGATCCCTGTGCTTCTCACAGTATGGCCCTGAACAGACGCAGGCCTCACAGGCCGTGACTGGGGTCCAGTCCCCTCCTGCTGACCTACATTTCAGCGCTCGCTGTGCCAACTCCGGGAGCCATGGAGGCTCAGCAGCAGTGTGCGCTCCAAGTGCAGCACTGCGCCAGAGGAGTAAATAACCCTGGGAAAGCTGGCCCGCTTTCATCCGCCCACATGTGGATCTCATTGAGAGAGAGGGAAGCACTGGGTGGCCAAAACGAGGGATTTATCCTGTCCGCTGGCCGTTCTCCTTCTGTTCCTTTGATAGCTTCCACGCCTCTGCTCAGGCTAAAATAAAAAACCAAGGATTCACCCAGCCAGTATCTGCTCCCCTCTGACGGGCAGTCTTGTCCCCAGGGCTATCTCCCAGCAAACACGGAGAGGAGGAAACTGACTCTGCAGCGGAAGCGTGAGGAGTATTTTGGCTTCATCGAGCAGTATTATGACTCTCGGAATGAGGAACACCATCAGGATACCTACAGACAGGTAGGGTCGTCACCTGCAGCCTCTTTGCCTATTAGTCACACTGCAGGTGTGTCTCCTGGGAATGCCAGCAGGGTACAGATTTCTAGGTCTTCAGGCTGTGGCATGCTGCTCAGGAATTCAGTTTATTCCCCTCTTTTCTGCACCTCCTTTTCATTCATAACATCCCAGTCTAGCTATTGTAAATAGACTTTTTTTGGTCACTAATTAGTGGCCTGAGAGTGCTCAAATTTTAATGTGCGTGCAGTACCCAGGGTCTTCATGAAAATGCCACCTGGGGGTTGTGGAAACAATGCAGGTTCTGATTCAGGAGTCTGGGGCGAGGCCTGCTCTTAACAAGCTCCTGAGCAGCGCTGACGCTGCCAGTCCAGGCCACTCTGTGAGTAGTAGCAGTTACGGAGTGTGAGAAGAAGGGTAAGTTCGCCCTGGAGTGGTCCAGTCCCTCTGGGCTGTGATGTCAGTGTGCCCTCTGGCAGCCGCTGGGCCTGTTCAGCTCCCATTTCTGTCTGTGTCTGCCTGTGGGAGTCTCCCCTCACTGCCTATGCAGGAATGTCTGCTGCACTCACATGGAGGGAGCAGGAGAGCAGCAGGTGGTTGTAGAAGGTGGGGGTAGGCGGCTATCCACAACAGCCCCAAGAACTTAAGGAGCCTCTTTCAGACTGGCGTTGGGAAATCCCCACAGCTGAACCCAGCAGAATGACCTCTTTGCTAACAGAAGACCTTGACTTCATTAGCAGCTCCTCCTCGATTCCCTCTCCTGGCTCTTTTTTTTTTTTTTTTTTTTTTTTTTTGACAAGCAGAGTGGACAGTGAGAGAGAGAGACAGAGAGAGAAAGGTCTTCCTTTGCCGTTGGTTCACCCTCCAATGGCCGCCGCTGCAGCCGGCGCACCGCGCTGATCCGATGGCAGGAGCCAGGATCCAGGTGTTTTTCCTGGTCTCCCATGGGGTGCAGGGCCCAAGCACCTGGGCCATCCTCCACTGCACTCCCTGGCCATAGCAGAGAGCTGGCCTGGAAGAGGGGCAACCGGGACAGAATCCGGCGCCCCGACCGGGACTAGAACCCGGTGTGCCGGCGCCGCAAGGTGGAGGATTAGCCTATTGAGCCACGGCGCCGGCCCTCTTCTGGCTCATTTTTATGGCTGTCAGAGACCTTTTAGTTCTTAGGAAGTATTGATGGGTAAGATTCTGACAGGGGGGTAGATACTTTGACTACACTTATTAACTAAGTGCCGGCCCAGAGCAAAACTGACTCCAGAGCCAAGGACAAAGCAAGTGGTACTCTTGGGTCCTGAAACCTGTTGCTGTTTGGCTTACATGGTTGACATTAGGAGGTTTCCTCAGTGTTTGACAAGCTGTTGCCCTCATGAAAGCACACTCCACGTGGACAGCTAAGTTTACTGAAGCGGACTTTTTTCTGGGTCTGTCAGTTCTTGCTGAAGATAAAATTACAGTGTAACTCTTAGTCTCTTTGTTCTCATTTCATAAGAAAATAACTTTGTCAAAAGAATAGACTGGCATTTGTGTTTTTGGACGTGGCTTCTCTTTTTCAGATTCACATTGACATTCCAAGGACGAATCCTCTCATTCCATTGTTCCAGCAGCCACTTGTGCAGGAGGTGAGGGGATTACTTGATGTTCTTTGGTCCTTCTCCCCGCCCCGTCCCCAGTTCTGTGGCACCTGTTCACAGATTTACCACTGACCATGGTAGTACCTCATGTTCAGCTATGGAGCTTTTTTTTTTTTTTAAGATTAATTTATTTATTTGAAAGACAGAGTTATAGAGAGGCAGAGGCAGAGAAAGAGAGAGAGGGGGGTCTTCCATCTGCTGGTTCATTCCCCAGATGGCTGCAACAGCCAGAGCTGCACTGATCCAAAGCCAGGAGCCAGGAGTTTCTTCTGGGTCTCCCACACAGGTGCAGGGGCCCAAGGACTTGGGCTATCTTTTACTGCTTTCCAAGGCCATAGCAGAGAGCTGAATGGGAAGTAGAGCACCCAGGACTCGAACTGGTGCCCAGATAGTGTACTAGCGCTGCAGACCAGGGCTTTAACCCACTGCACCACAGCACCAGCCCAGCTTTGGTTCTTTTAGAGCACTTTTTTGTGCATTCTCGTTTGATCTTCAAAGCCAACCTGTGAGCCAAGTAGCACCTTGAGAAGTTAAGGAACTTACCCAGAATCTTGAGGCTACCTGGTGACAGAATGAAGAACCCATATCTCAGAATTGCTGTTCCTGTGTTTGCTCTACTTTCAATTTTTCCTTATGTCTCTTTGTCATTTTATTTGAAAGGTGGAGAGACAGAAAGAGATCTTCCATCTGCTGATTTCACTACTCAAATCCCCACAATAGCCAGGGCTGGGCTGGGCTGAAGCCAGGAACCTGGAACTCTCTCTGGGTCTCCCACATAGGTGGCACAGACTCATGTACTCCAGCCATTATCTGCTGCCTCCCAGGGTGCACATTAGCAGAAAGCTGGAATCCGGAGTGGAGGAGCCAGTACTCAAACCAGGCACTCTGATGTGGGACGTGGGTAGGGCAAGGGTATCCCAGCTGGTGTCTTAACTGATGTATTGAACACCTGCCCCCTCCCCTTTTTAAAAATTTTCACATTTTTAGTGTACAGTTTACTGCTATTAAATACATTCACAGTGTTGTGCGACCATCACCAGCATTCATCTCTAGAACTTTTTACCTTCTTGAACTGAAACTCCATTCCCATTAAATAGCAACTCCCCATTCAAAGCCACCTTTCTGCATTTTGTCTCTATGTATGTGACTATACCAGGTAACATCGGATAAGTGGAATCATACTATATTTGTCCTTTTGTGAATGGTTTCTTTCAGCTAGCATATTGTCATCAACGTTCATCCATGTTGTAGAATGTTTCAGAATTTCCTTCTTTTTTTAAGGCTGAAAAATATTCTCTATATGGAAATATAGCACATTATTGCTCCATTCATCTGACGATGGACATTTTGGTTGCTTTCCATCTTTTGGCTATTATGAATAATGCTACTCTTAATATTATGGGTGTATCACTTCTTGGTCTTTTGGCTAAGATCAAGTGTAATATTATGGGTGTATAAGCATCTATTTGAGTGCTTTTTTAAATTTTTTGAAAGATTGCTATTATTTATTTGAAAGACAGAGACAGAGAGGTCTTCAATCTGCTGGTTCACTCCCCACATGGCCGCAATGGTGGGGGCTGGGCCAGGCCAAAGCCAGCAGCCAGGAGCTTCTTCCAGGTCTCCCATGTGGGTGCAAGGGCCTAAGCACTTGGGTCATCCTCTGCTGCTTTCTCAGCGCATTAACAGGGAGCTGGATCAGAAGTGGAACAGCTGGGACACAAACTAGTGCCCGTAAGGGATGCTGGCATTACAGGCAGCAGCTTTACACACCATGCCACAATGCTGGCCTCTGAATCCTTGTTTTAAATTCTTTTGGGTATGTATCCAGAAGTGGTATTACTATATGTGTGTGGGTATGTGTGTGTGTGTATTTTTAAAGATTTATTTATTTGAAAGGTAGAGTTACAGAGAGAGAGAGGAAGTGACAGAGAGAGATCTTCCTCCATCTGCTGGGTTCACTCCCCAGATGGCTCCAACAGGACAGGCCAAAGCCAGGAGCCAACAGCCAAGAAGTCCAGCCTGGTGTCTCGGGGGTGACAGGAGCTCAAGTAGTTAGGCCATCCTCCACTGCTATCCCAGGCACATTCGCTGGGAGCTGGATCAGAAGTGGACCAGTGGAACCGGTGCCAATGTTGGATGCTGGTGTTGCAGGTGGCAGCTTAACCCACTGCACCACAGCACCAGCCCTGTGATAGATATAATGAGACCGAGCAAGTTAATGAAGCACATGGGAGGTCTGGGGGGCGGGGTGGGCAGTAACTGTGAAGTCCTTGAGGTCTGGGGTTTCCTTGACAGATTAGCAGCAGCCAGGACACTGTGTGTTGGTGTCCCTTGAATTGAGCTTTCAGTCCTCGGGGAGGTTGTGATAAGAACGCTGAGATTGCTTCTCTTTGATTTGGGATTATATTCATAATTCTGCTTAAACATAGAAACCTCAGCTGGTTGAATTCTTTATGACTTGCCGTTAGCATAAAGAAGCCTTTGAGAGTGATGCCAGCATTTGACCTGTAAGATCCTGCTCAAAGGAAGCTAAAGACCTATTCGGTTTCCCACAGCACAGCCTGCTCACTCCTCATTTTAAAGTGGAGATGTTCAGATACTGTTTCTTTACCTGTTGCTGCTTCTAAATTTGGAGGTAGAGTAATCTAAAAGACTTTTCCTAGTAGTTGGATCTGAAAACCACGATGGAAACAGATTTTTTTCTTTCTAGTTTCCTTAAATCACCTTTTCATCTAGCAGGCCATAGTCGTCTTAAACAGAAAAAATGCCAGCCAAGGAGCAGAGTACGAGTAATACTGAATATCAGAAGGCTTGCTTTGCAAACCTGAAAGATGCTTGTAGGCTCCACTGTCTATGATGCAGTGGCTAGGAAGCATCCTTTTTTGTGTTTGTACTAGATAACCATCTCCAAAATCATGCCACATTTCCTTTCTCTTGGCCTCCCTGGGAGGTTCTTCTCCTTGCAGCAGCTAGAGAGGGTCTCTCCAGTCTGACTGCAGAGTCCCTGTGCAGTGGAGGCCCTCTCACCTCCTGTCCCGGCAGCATGTGCTCTCCATGCCCCTGCTGTTCCTGTGGTGGGACTTGCAGAGTCACGAGACGGCTCAGTCAAAGCCAGGCTCAGGAGTTGCCGTCTCCAGAGTGGAGTCAGGCAGTGGGTATCATCAGGGTGAGGGACGATGGGGAGAGCTCAGAGGGTCTAATGAAAGTGTATCAGTGGGGGCGTGCGCCCTGGTTCTTGACTTCTGTCTGTATAGAAATAAGGAAAAAGTCCAAGATGCAAAATGAGAGTATTTTATTAAGCCAGGGAGAGAACAGAGGAAAGCGGGAGAAAGCAATCGCAGGACTCTTGGTTGCAAGACGCAGAGAGGGGACTGTAGAACTGGATGTCTGGTAGGGGAGTACGATCCTGGAGTAGGTACCGTAACTTCCCTTTCATCTCTGTCACCTGGGTGGCTGCCCCTCTCCTGGTGTAGTCACCCCTGCCCTGAACATAGTGTGTAAGGGTCATTGATTGGGCTGGGATCAGTGAGGTCCAGCTGTTCCCAAGCCCTTTCTGAACATGGAAGGGGTACGATTGGCCTGGTCTGGGTGGGCCCACGAAATGAGGGAGAAGAAGGGGGAAATTTCCATCTTCCAGGACCGTGCCTGTCCCTGCCTAAATCTCCCTATCACTACAAAAGATAGTTGAATTGGACGGGTTTCTGTAAAGGAGCCATAAGATCTTCCCTCTGTCCCCAGCCTGGATCTTCGGCTTCCTATGGTGAATATACTTAACCGCAGAGGCCTCTGCTGGTTTCTCTGTTCTCAAATTCCTAGCCTTAGGGGTCCCCAGGATTTGGTTTGTTTAACTTCCTATCCTCAGTGAACGTCTGAGGTGCATCCTGGTATGTGAAGCAACTTCCTGCATGTGTAGTCTGTCACTTGTTCCTAGTCAGGCTGGGTTAGAACTAAATCCAGATCTCCTTCCTTCCCAGTGGGGCTGGGGTGGGTAGAGGATTGGGGGATTGGGGGGGGGGGGTGGGAGTGCCAGAGAAGGGTTTCCTCTCTCAATCCCATCATGATGGAAAAAGACTTAGCAAAAAGCATAAGAACTAGGGAGTTCTGATATCTTGTGCTTGGAAATAGAGAAGCAGAATCCACAAATGAGAATGTGGTGACTTAAATAATGACATCCATAGCAAACCTTTGTCGAAGTCATTTGTGCCACCACCTTTTCCTTTTCCCAATTTTATGTTGCAGTGACCAGGTACTGACAAAATAAACAAAGGTCGAGAAGCATCTCCCCCTACTTGAAAACAGCTAATGTGGTGAAAATTTTTCGCATTGATCAATTCCCTTTGTCTCGCTGTGTTTTAAGATTTTCCTGAAAGCTCTGCACTAACCCTGAGATGCATTCATTGTGACGTAGCTAAGTGGAGGGAAGGAGTGTGTCCCCATGAATTAACACCCGTATCTTCTTTCTTTCTCATTTTCCTAGATCTTTGAAAGAATTCTATTTATTTGGGCCATCCGACATCCTGCCAGTGGGTATGTCCAGGGAATTAATGACCTGGTCACTCCGTTCTTTGTCGTCTTCCTCTCAGAATATGTGGGTAAGAAGCATGAGTACCAAGTTGAACAAGCTATTGTTCTTTCTTATCTGTCAACTGTTGGTTTTTCACAGGGCAGAAAAGATAATGGGGGCCAGCCTTGAGGCTTAGTGGGTTAAGCTGCTGCTTGTGAGGCCGGCATCCCATATTGGAGTGCTGGTTACTCTGCTTCTGATTTAACTTCTTAATACCATGACCAGCAAAGTAGTATAAGATGGCCCAGGTACTCTGGTCCCTGTCATGTGGGAGACCAGGATGGAGTTCCTGGCTCACTGGCTTTGGCCTGTCCCATACCTGGCTGTTGTGGGCATTTAGGGAATGAACCATTTTGGATGGAATATCTCTCTCCGTCTTTCCTTCTCTCTGTCACTCTTCCTTTCAAATAAATAAATCTTTTTCAGAAAGAGGAGAGAGGGGCCGGTGCTGTGGCGCAGCGGGTTAATGTCCTGGCCTGAAGCGCTGGCATCCCATATGGGCGCTGGTTCGAGACCCGGCTGCTCCACTTCTGATCCAGCTCTCAGCTATGGCCTGGGAAAGCAGTAGAAGGTGGCCCAGGTGCTTGGGCCCCTGCACCCATGTGGGAGACCTGGAGGAAGCTCCTGGCTCCTGGCTTCAAATCAGTACAGCTCTGGCCGTTGTGGACAATTGGGGAGTGAACCATCGGATGGAAGACCTCTCTCTCTCTCTCTCTTTCCCTCTCTCCCTCTTTCCCTCTTTCTCTCCCTCTCCGCCCCCCCCCCCCCCGCTTTTCCTTCTCTCTGTATAACTCTGACTTTCAAGTAAATAAATAAATCTTTAAAAAACAAGAAGAGAGAAATGGTAGCTTTGAAATACATAGCTAACCCTATTTTAACAGTAGAAGCAGCTTATATCTTAAGATAGTGACAGATCGCATCTAAAAAGACCTATTTTGTCTTAAAATGACCAAATTGATACATTTTTGTTCTGCTGTTACCAGGTTATTTTAGGATTATAGTGAGCTCTCTCAAATGCGGCCTTTCTCCAGGAGCGCTGGGATTCTAGTTGTGGATCAGGCCTCCATGCTGCAGTTCATGTGTTGTGTGTTAGGTGTGGGCTGTGAGAATGTGGAGGATGCAAGGTTGTGGGACCCCAGAGTCCAGCCCATACCCCAGGCAGTGGAGTGTTCCAGGGGAGCTGCAGGGCCCTGATTTCTCCCCACTCCTTCTCACTTCTTACTCCACTTAGGCTTTTGTCCCTTGAGTGATTAATTTCCTGGTGGCAGCTGGGTTTTTTTTTTTTTTCTTTTTTTGTTTGTTTTTTTTTTAAGATTTATTTATTTGTTTGAAAGGGTTATAGAGAGGCAGAGAGAGAGGTCTTTCGTTGGTTCACTCCCCAGATGGCCTCAATAGCCAGAGCTGCGCCAATCAGGAGCCAGGAGCTTCTTCCAGGTCTCCCACATGGGGGCAGGGGCTCAAGGACTTGGGCCATCTTCTACTACTTTCTCAGGCCATAGAAGAGAGCTGAATGGGAAGTAGAGCATCCAGGACTGGAACCAGTGCCCATATGAGATACTGGCACGGCAGGCGGCAGCTTTACCTGCTACACCACAGCACCAGCTGTGGGTTTTCTTATAGTCCCAGACTTCTCTCTCTCTTTTTAAAGATAGATTTATTTATTTATTTATTTGAAAGGCAGAGTTAGAGAGAGAGAGAGGCCCTACATGCACTGGTTCACTCCCTAAATGGCCACAATGGCCAAAGATGTGCCAATCCGGAGCCAGGAGCTGCTTCTGGGTCTCCTATGCGGGTGCAGCGGCCCAAAGACTTGGGCCATCTTCCACAGTCTTCCTAGGCCATAGCAGAGAACTGGATCGTAAGAGGAGCAGCCAGGACACAAACTGGCGCCCATGTGGGACGCTAGCACAGCAGGTGGTGGCCCCACCCACTGTGCCGACCCCCCAGACTTCTCTTGCATGAGAGTCAGAAGGAGCTGCGGATCCTCTGTGTCTCCATTTTGGTTTTCTTAATCACTTGTGCACAGAGGTTTGCAGAGAGGAATACCTACGTGTCACTGCCAGGTTGTCCCCTTGGAGGTTCCCTTAAACTAAGAGCATTGAAAGGGTGGGTGTTCGGAGCAGCAGTTAAGATGCCACTTGGAAGGCTGGCACTGTGGCACAGCAGGTTAAGCCACTACTTGATATACCAGCACCCCATATTGGAGTGCCAGTTCTAGTCTTGATTGCTCCACTTCAGATTCACCTCCCCTGCAAATGCTCCTGGGAAAGCAGCAGAGGATGGTCCAAGTACTCCGTGTGCTCTGTGCACCCCTGCCACCCACATGGGAGACCCGGATGGAGGTCCTAGGTCCTAGCTCCTGGTTTTGGCTTGGCCCAGCCCTGGCTGTTGTGTGCATTTGCGGCATAAACCATTAAATGGAAGCTCTCTCTCCATTTTTTTTTTCCTATCTCTGAAATGAAATGAAAATAACTCAATTAAAAGGATAATCATACTGCTTGGTTGTGGGCATTTGGTGCAGCAGTGAAGCTGCCACATCCGCATGCCCTGTCACGGTGCCTGGGTCAGGCTCAGTTCCTCTGCTGTGACCCAGCTTCCTGCTCGTGCACCCTGACACCCACACAGGAGACCTGAATCGAGTTCCTAGCTCTGGCTTCAGCCTGGCTTACCCTAACTGTTGCAGGCATTTGGGAAGGAATATGCATAGATATCTTTCTTTCTCTCCCTTTCAAATAAATAAAAAACACTAAAAATAAAAAGTAGTCACTAGCACATGTTTGAAACAAATCCTCAGCAGGTACAATTCTGTTTGCATAATTAATTATGTCGCTAACTGCCACATATATTTTGTACCAGGTTTTTGTTTACTTCCTACAAGTACCCATCTCCTTTGTACCTCAGCCTCCTAAGTTCCATCCAGCACTTTCTGTGATGGATAAGGCTGCTTTCTGATATTGCTGGTCAGCCGCACCTGATGACCAGTGAAACTGGTGCTGACCCACAGTGTTTACGCTCCAGGGAGGGATGGGCCTCTGCCCTTCCTAGAGGCCACTCTGGGTCAGGCTGCCCTTCGCCTTACCTCTGAACGGACTTCACAGTAGGCTTCAGTACCTTCTAGACCTAAGAAGACGGGGCCCAGTCTTTTTGTTTTTATAAAAACTTTAAGTTGCAAACATGTGAAGGTAGAAAAAAAATTCCAAAAATCCCCATAAACCCCTCACCCAACCCCTGTGCATTCTCCACTTCTCACTGTGGTGAATTATTTTGAAGCAGGTCTTGGTCTCAAGCATCCTACCATTTCATCCATAAAAAACACAGCGCCATACTGCAGTTATCCCGTGTTAAAAGGAATTATAGGACAGGCTTTTGGTGCAGTGATAAACATACCACTAGGAAATCTCACTTACCGTATTGGAATGCCTGGGTTCGAGTCCCAGCTCCCTCCACTTCTGATCCAGCTTCCTGCTGATGCACATGCTGGGAGGCAGCAGGTGATGGCCTGAGTTCCTGGGTCCCTGCCAACCACCTGGGAGACAGATGGAGTTCCTGGCTCCTGGCTTCGGCCTGGTCCAGCCCTGGCTGTTTGCAGCCATTTGGGGAGTGAGACAGCAGATGGAAGATCTCTTTCTATCGGTCTCTCTGCCTTTTAAAGAAAAATGAAAATACATAAATAAATAATCTTAAAAGTCTGTGCCATCAGTGACTCCAGCCCTTAATGTGTGGATGTACTTTTCCTTACACCTTGGCAAAACCAAGTATCTCAGTCTAGTTATGTTTCACCAGTTTGGCAAATACACCACTGTTTCTGTTTCAGTTTTTGTTTCTCCTTGCTCATCAGGGAAGGTTGTGCCTCTTTTCTTACATATATTATCGTTTGCTTTGCTTGAGTTCTGCTTGTTCCCATCATTTGCCGATTTTTTCTCATGGTCTGTCTTGTTATTTTGTAAGAGCTTTTCATAGATTAGATGTTTTTAACACATATCAGATGAAGTATGAATATTAGGTCAATTCACAGAAATTTGACTGCTTTTGGCCTTCACCCCCAACATAGAAATATTATATAATCCAGTCTAATATTTTTCCCCAAAACACTTTTAATCTCTTCGCTTTGTTTATTATATCTCCTTGTGTGGACCTTACTAATTCTTATGTAGTTAAATCTGTCTGTTTGATAAGAATTTTTTTTTTTTTTTTTTTTTTGACAGGCAGAGTGGACAGTGAGAGAGAGAGACAGAGAGAAAGGTCTTCCTTTTGCCGTTGGTTCACCCTCCAATGGCCGCCGCGGCCGGCGCGCTGCGGCCGGCGCACCGCGCTGATCCGATGGCAGGAGCCAGGAGCCAGGTGCTTTTCCTGGTCTCCCATGGGGTGCAGGGCCCAAGCACCTGGGCCATCCTCCACTGCACTCCCTGGCCACAGCAGAGGGCTGGCCTGGAAGAGGGGCAACCGGGACAGAATCCGGCGCCCCGACCGGGACTAGAACCCGGTGTGCCGGCGCCGCTAGGCGGAGGATTAGCCTAGTGAGCCGCGGCGCCGGCCTGTTTGATAAGAATTTAAAGATTTATTTATTTGAAAGGCAGAGTTACACAAAGGCAGAGGCAAAGAGAGAGAGAGAGAAAGGTCTTCTACCTGCTGGTTCACTCCCCAGATGGCCACAACGCCTGGAGCTGGGCCAATCCAGAGCCAGGAGCCAGAAGCTTCTTCGGGACCTTCCATGCTGGTGCAGGGGCCCAAGCACCTGAGCCATCTTCTGCTGCTTTCCCAGTCCATAGCAGAGAGCTGGATCGGAATTGGAGCAGCCAGGACTCGAACTGGCGCCCATGTGGGATGCCGGCACTGCAGGCAGCAGCCTTACCTGCTATGCCACAGCGCTGGCCCCTTGTGTATGTTTTTATAGTTAGCTGTTTCAACACCATTACTAATTTATTTTCCTATATGGTTGGGATTGATATTTAAAATCACTATTCCAACTAGATACCTAATTGCCTCAACACTATTTATAAACCCTGTCTATATCCTTTTCTCACTGAT